TCTGAGAGGAGAGGGACGGTTGGCCAGGTTGTGAGCCCTGTCCCGGTGACCCCTGGAAGCTCTGGCCTCTACTGGGAAAGAGCCAGTAGCTTGAGGTCAGGCCACGCGGTGAGTCGTGGCTTCTGGGGTACTGGGCCTGGTTAATGAGGCTGACTCAGCCTGCGGTCAGCCATGCCCCTGGAGCAGCCTCGGAGGAAAGTCAGGCTGGCCGAGGGCTGGCATTGCCCACTGGGCCCACCAGCACCCCGGAGCCTGGGCTCGGGGCTGTGCACAGATGCAGTAAAGGGCACGTTGAGAGGCTCTGTAGGCAGAAGTGTGAGTCCTTACCATTGAGGAGGTGGCAGGAAATGACAAGAGGGCACACATGAGGGTCAAGTGGGTTCTGTTCCTGGAGGATAAGAAGGTGCAGGAAGGTACCCAGGTCTGTCGAATCCCTTTTTTTTTTTTTTTTTTTTTTAAAGTACACCCCAAGCCCAGCATGGAGCCCGATGCGGGGCTTGGACTTTCGACTCTGAGATCAAGACCTGAGTGGAGATCAGGAGTTACATGCTTTATCAGCTGAGCCCCCCAGGTGCCCCTTGTTGAATACTTTTGATGGGCTGGGTGAGCAGGGTCTGAGTCCCTACCAAAGACTGCCTCCCTGTGTGACCTCAGGCAGATGGTTTGACCTCTCTGTGCCTCCATGTCCATTTATAAAACATATTTCAAGGCTTAAAGGAGGTAATCCACAGCACCTGCCACAGTGAATGCCCAGCAACGGTGGTTTCATTTCATTCAGCAAGTGATCACTGAGTACCTGCTGGAATGTTCCAAGGACTTGGGGTACGACTTAGAACGAAAGGGACCAAGGACCCTGATCTTCTGGAGCTTTATTGTCCTACTGTTTTGCTTCTCATGAAAGCCCAGGGAGACTGAATTCAGACCTTGAGCTGTACCTATTCCAAGAGGAGCCTACTGAGAACTCATGGGAGGGCAGGGGTCTTGCTTGGGGTCACAGGTCATCTCATGAGACAGGCCTTCAGGGCCAGCTGGACTGAGCTACCAGAGCCTGCTCCTTTTGGCTCTGCCCCTCCCTGTCCTGCAGCCTGTCAGCCCATCCCATCATCTCCCAAGGGTACCTGGAGATCCTTGAACAGCTGGGCACATGGGGCTCCCTCGGGCAGGGAGGCAGAGCTGTGGGACCGGAACTCCCCCATCACCCTGGCAGGGGCCGCTCCCTGTCCCCACGTGGAGGCCTCTTCACCAGAAGCTTTCAGGGTTTTGAACCAAAGTGGTTGTTTGCGCAGACTGGGCTACAGGTGCAGGGCTGGAGGAGCCGGGCTTTTTGCTGGTCTGAGGCTGCTGGAGCAGTGCTTGGGGTTACATGGCAAGGTTTTCCTTCTGCAGAGCATTGGGGAACCTGACTCTCCCCCTGCTTGGAGCGGGTGTGGCCTCGGGCTGGGATCCACTTTGCCACAGCATGTGCTTGGATTTCCACCCGGGGTTTTAAGGCTGCAGGAGGAAACCAGGCCAGGGAGACCGACGCCAGGCTCCCAGTGAGGACTCAAACCTGGTCTGAATGCCAAGCCCACTTGCGAGTGCATGGGGCTGGGTCCCAGGACTGCCAGGGAAGAGCCAGTGATGGCATAAATGTCCTTTTCTCACTCTGAAATGCAGGCCTCGACTTAACCTGCTAAGTGCGGTTTCCAAGCCGACTTGCCCTCTGCCTGACTTAATTAGCATGTATTTGCACACCAGCAGTTAAAGACTAAGATCCTTTCAGGTGTCCTGATTAGGTCTGACAGGACATTGCCAGGCCTGTCCTTTCAGCCACGATTAGAATATAATAAAATAATACCAATTAAGAGTCAGCCAACGTCAAACCCAGAGAGCATTGTGCCAGATATACGGGCCAGTACTTTGAGGCTATGCCCAAGTTCTCCGTGGCATTTAAGACTCTTGTTTTTCCCCAGAGCTGTGATGAGGGCAGTGCTGCTGGGGAGGAGGTGGTGGTGGCGGGTGGCGGGGGAGGTGGGGGGGTCGTGGGCAGGGACCTCAGACTTGTGCCATTCTGGAAAACCCCATGCTCCATGCTGCCCCGATAAATCCACCTGCGACCACAGGGGGGGCGCTAGAGCTAACCCAAGGCTCCATCACCCGTGGTGGAGAAAACCGACCAGTGAACAGTTTGTCAGGAGGGCCAGATCTTAAAATAGTATTGAGTGTGTTTTTGTGTGTGGTGTAAGGAAATGGTCCAGTTTCATTCTTCTGGATGGAGCTGTCCAATTTTCCCAACACCATTTGTTGAAGAGACTTTTTTCCATTGGAAATTCTTTCCTGCTTTGTCGAAGATTAGTTGACCACAGAGTTGAGGGCCCATTTCTGGGCTCTCTATTCTGTTCCACTGATCTATGTGTCTGTTTTTGTGCCAGTGCCATACTGTCTTGATGATGACAGCTTTGTAATAGAGCTTGAAGTCTGGAATTGTGAGGCTGCCAACTTTGGTTTTCTTTTTCAACATTCCTCTGGCTATTCGAGGTCTTATGGAGGGTCTTATGCTAAGCGAACTAAGTCAGAGAAAGACAATTATCATATGATCTCCCTGATATGAGGAATTTGAGAGGCAGGGCAGGGAGGGGCGGGGGTCATGGGGAAAAGGGAGGGTAAAAAATGAAATAAGATGGGACCAGGGAGGGAGACAAACCATAGAGACTCTTAATTTCAGGAAACAAACTGAGGGTTCCTGGAGAGGAGGGGGCTGGGAGGGATGGGGTGGCTGGGTGATGGACATTGGGGAGGGTATGTGCTATGGTTGAGTGCTGTAAATTGTGTAAGACTTAACGATTCACAGACCTGTATCCCTGAAGCAAATAATACATTATATGTTAATAAAAAAAATAAAATATTGGGTGAAGCAAAATAAAAAGGCCACAGTATGTGTAGAATAATCTGTGTGCACATTTAAGACAGGTGCATACATAAAACAACTCTGTAGTTTTAAGACCAATGCATTCCAATTACATGAGGTCCCTGGGCTGGACAGATTCAGAGATGGTCAGATGGCGGCAGCGGGGATGCGGAGTTCATGTTTAATGGGTGGAATGTCCGGTGGGGAGGATGAAAAAGTTCCAGGGATGGAAGGTGGTGACAGTTGCACAACCATGGGTGTACAGAATGCCACAGAACTGCACACTTAAAAGTGGTTATGGGGGAGTATTTTATATATACTTTCCCTTAATTGATTCCCTCAGTATTGAGGGAATCAATAATTTTGAGGGAAATTAGTATACTGTATACAGTACACTGAGTATACTCAGTGCTGTGGCAATATCAGTAATATTTGATATTGAGGTAAATTCAAATATTCCCTCAATACCTCAGTATTTGATACTTTCCCTCAATCAATAATATCAATAATATTGAGGGAGTGAAGTACCTCAATAAAAAGGTACTTATTGAGGGGTGCCTGGGTGGCTCAGCGGGTTAAAGCCTCTGCCTTCAGCTCAGGTCATGATCTCAGGGTCCTGGGATCGAGCCCCGCGTCGGGCTCTCTGCTCAGCAGGGAGCCTGCTTCCCTTCCTCCCTCTCTCTGCCTGCCTCTCTGCCTACTTGTCATCTCTCTCTGTCAAATAAATAAAATCTTTAAAAAAAAAAAAAAAGAGGATTCCCTTTAAAAAAAATTAAAAAAGGTACTTATTGAAACATGCCACAGGAACTACCTCTGAGCGGGGCATGGGAACAGGGACGAAGGGGAAGCCAGTGTTGACAGTGGGGCTTTCAAACCCCGAGTGTGATGGGCTCCATCCTCAGCGGCCAAGAGGTGCCCCAAACTGCTATTTAATATTTTTCCTTTAAATTCAATAGCCTAAGGAAATTTGCCCCACAGGCCAAGTTTATATTATGGCCAGTCGGAAAACCTGAATCAGCTTTCCTGGTCCAGGGTGTGCGTCCCTTTCCCTGATCCAGTGCTATATTCTCATTTTGACTGTTGATGGCACTTTACTACCATCTTCATTATTTATCTTTACATTGTTACTCCTTTCCACGTGTCCGTCACGACCCTCTCGGAAACAACTGAATGCAGCCGACCGCGACTGACCGCACATTCCACCGCACATTCCACCTGCTGTCTGCTGGGCTTTTGCTTGGGGCAGGCCAGGCAGAAGCAGCTCTAAATACCAGCAGTACTGCTTTTTTTTTTTTTTTAAGATTTTATTTATTTATTTCACAGGGAGAGATGACAAGTAGGCAGAGAGAGATGGGGGAGAAGCAGGCTCCCCGCTGAGCAGAGAGCCCGACACGGGACTCGATCCCAGGACCCCGAGATCACGACCTGGGCCGAAGGCAGAGGCCCAACCCACTGAGCCACCCAGGCACCCAGTGGTACTGCTTTTTAATCCACGTTTAGAAAGACCCGAGCCAACGTTTTAAGTCCACGGTCTACAGAAACAAGCCTTTTTGTTAGTGAGCTGGGTAATGGGAGTCTGGAATGAAGCGAGAGTGTGAGGGAGAGGGTGCTGTAGGGCGGGCACGCCGGCTGTGTTGAAACCTACCTGAGGGTCACCTTGCTTTTCCCTCAAAGCAGTAGAAGTGGATTTTTTATTCTGAAACTTACAGGGTCCTTTTTTAGCACAGAGTAGTAGAAGTGCAAAACGAACCGCACAGCAACAGTTGTTATGCCAATAATGGAACTCTTCCATGATTTAGAATAGATCAAAACATGTTCACATCTCATAAAAATGCCAACCAAGTCAATAAAACAGGCTTTTTTGTTTTGTTTTGAAGTAAGCTCTGTGCCCAATGGGGGGTTTGAACTCCTGACCCAGAGATCAAGAGTCGCAGCTCTACTGGCTGAGCCAGCTGGGTGTCCCCCAAAGCTGACTTGTTTTACATTTAAAAAGTACTGCAAATGAAAATGGAACCCTTTGGGGCACCTGGATGGCTCAGTCAGTAAAGCTGTGACTCTTGATCTCTGGGTCATGAGTTCAAGTCCCATGTTGGGTGTAGAGCTTAAAGAAAACGGAACACTTTTAGGCTCCCTGCTCACTGGCCAAAGGACACTAGCACAGTGGAAAGGATTTAAAGGTATGGTGGAAGCTGCCTTTCTCCTTGGCATGATTATTATAAAAATTGAAGGAAACTGAAAAGAGAACAACTTTTCCTCCAGATGTCCTGTCTTTTAACATGTCCAGACATCACCTATAAATCATCTTTTGTTCCCTCTGTGACAAGTGTCTTCAGACTGGGGACACTGCTCTGGGCACTGGGCTGGGTAGAGAGCTAGGCTGTCTGCCTGGCTGGGACCACAGGCGTGGGAGGTTAGGACCTCGCCTGATGATGCGGAGGCCCTAGTCTGCCCTGTACACAGTGTTCCTGTAAGGTCTAGCAGCTTTGTTCCCTCAAGAGCTAGACTCTGAGCTCTGTTTGCCTAGCAGTTTGGCTTGGTAGAATTCCCATGGGTTTCAGAGCCAGAACTGGATTAAATCACTTCCTGGCCCAAGGAACCTGACCTTGTCAGTTAGAGTGGTATAATTGCTAGTGGGGAATAAATGAGATAATGGGGATATGTATGTCTCTGTCCCAGAGCTTGGCACATCACAGATGCACAATCATGGCATCTGTTATTCTCTACATCTTGGACTTAAGATAGCAGCAGATCATCCAACCATTTCCCACATACTAGCTTTCAGCTTCATGGTCACAGGATGGCCACTGTAATGTAGACACTGCATCTGCACTGAAGGCATTGAAGGCAGGGAGGAGGAAGGAACAGGACATGCTGTCTGTTCCTTTTATCCAAAACCAAAAGCCTTCCCTCAGCTCCCCAGAATACTTGTCATGATCTGGTTGGCGAACTCTGGTCACTTGTACGGTATTGTGTAACTGTCCCCTTGAACACGAGGCACCAGGGCTACTTCTCTTAAAGTAAATGACCTGGGTCGTTGGCTTTAATACCGATTCCTCGCACATTATTTTCATGCTGGAATCAGAGCACGTCTAGGGATGGGTTGGAGGCAGGGGTGCATCTGCCACTTCTCTGGGCAGAAACAGCTTGAGGCTGAGAGGCGGCTGCAGGGAATTGACTATTAGAACAGAGATGCCTCTTGCACTTTCCCTGGCTCTGAAGGCGGCTCCAAAGCTGCCTCCTGCCATTACCTGCTCCCTGTGGATTTCTTCTCAGCCCGCCAGAGCCCTGCCTCTGGGCCAGGAAGCTGATCTCTGGGTTGGAACTGACCAGACTCCAACTGGGCTGCAGTACGGACTTGCGCCGGTAGGTGGTGCTGCAGCTAGAATACCCGCCAGATGTTCTAACCTCTTACTTCCAGCTTATCCCACAGTGCTTAGTGCAGGCTGGATGTTCAGGAATTGGTGGCGAATGAAAGAATGAATGAGTGAGACAAGGAGGACAGTTGACAAGGAGAGAGCTCATACTCCAGCATGAAGGCTCACTAGGTCAAGGGATTATACTCTAAAATGAATCCATTCGGAAGTTACAGGACATCCGTACACGATGGAGCCGACCGTGACTCCCTGTCCAGAGAACTGACCTCCAAGATAACTGGTAACGTGCCTTTTGTGGCAAGGTCCTATTCCCTATGTTATGGAGCTACATGGTGAAAGCCTATCCGTGGCTTTGAAATTGTCACAGCTTTGCTTCTTTTTCAGAGTGAAACATCTTTCAACCTAATATCAGAAAAATGTGACATTCTATCAATTCTTCGGGATCATCCTGAAAACAGGATTTACCAGAGGAAAATCCAGGTGAGACAGAGGTTTGCAGGGGAGAGGATCTTAGAGCTAATGTGCTGGAGCTGGGATTGGAGTCCGAGGTGCCACTTTGAAAGCAGAATGTCCTAGCCTTGGGGCCAGGCTCCCAGGCAAATTCAAGGGCTCCCAGAATATTTTGAAGCTGGGCATTTGCCTCAGTGAGAAATCTTTTAGTTGCAATATATATAGCAATTTAAGCTAGGTACTATCCTAAGTGCTTTATTTACTGAGACATTATGTTGCAAAGCCAGTACTTTTATTATCCACATTTTACAGCCGAGGAAAGGGAGGCACAGATATTAAATGGCAGGCCCACAGTCCTCCAGCTCGTCAGTGGAGAAGGTGGGACTCGGACAAGGAAGCTAGATCTCGTAAGCTGCATCCATAACCACAGTGCTAGGGCATCTCAGCAGCGAAGGGCCACTCCAGTTGGCCTTTGCAGAAGGGGAGTTTGCCAGAAGCGTGCAGGGGCACAGCTCACAAAACCAGGGCAGGAGCAGCAGCCTTGGCTCTGTCCACCTCTGGGGCAGCATGCTTCTGCTTCTCTCTGCTCACTGGGAGGACTGTCTCCTGCAGCCGCAGGGACTTGTGTACCCTGAAGCCCTCTCGGGAGAGGAGATGCGGTTCTCACAGAGCATGACCTTCCCTGCGGGGCTGAGAGGGCCCCATCAACCCCAAGCCTTCTCACTGCTGTGGTGGGAGTAGGGACTCCCCGACACCTTGAAGACCATGCTTTGCTATCAAAACCTTGCCTGTAGCTCCAGGAGGCACCAAGGAGACCCCAGGACATTTCAGAGGGAAACTGGCTGCTCAGAGCAGAGCTGGAAGTGGGTGGCATGGGGAGGACCACACCTTTTGAGACATGTTTGAAGGACTGGCCAGACTGCTAGGTTATGTCTGAGGAGGCCTCTTCTACAAACTCTGCAGACTCCTGGCTCACTGCTCAGCTACACCCCAACCCACCCCCAAGGGCTTTGCTTAGCTGTGCCTTCCCTGTGCCATGCATACCACTTCTGCTTCTCTCAGTGCTACTCCTCCAGGAAGCCTTCCTAGACTTCTGATGCCACTGCTCCGAGGCACCCCCGTGTTTCCCCTGTCCTGTCATAGTTGTGTAATGGTCCATTTTCCCCAGACTGTAGGCTGCCGGAGGGTGGGCCATGACCCGTTCATCACTCGGTGCCTGCCACAAGGACCGGCTCAGCATGGTTTTCCATGTGATGGAGGATAGCTGGGAGACTGTGAAGGCTCTGAAAGGAGGCAGCAGGTGCTACCTGGGGGAGGTAGGGGCCCTGGCCCCCCCACAGGACACGACACGACAGGTGATGGTGGTGCAGACGTCCACATTTCCTTCTCTGCTCCACAGGAACTCAGCAAAAGGTTCACCGCGATCCGCAAGACCAAGGGGGATGGGAACTGCTTCTACCGGGCCTTGGGCTATTCCTACCTGGAGTCCCTGCTGGGGAAGAGCAGGGAGGTCCTCAAGTGAGTGGATGTAAGGGACTGTTGGGTAGGCTTGGGTGTCCTGGGTCTCCCTGATGGGGTCTCCTAGGCACAGGCCTGCCAAACCTGGAGAGTGAGCTGCCGTGGGGGCGGGGTGGGGGCAGCCATGCGGTCTGGGATGGAACCAGTGACTTAAGTTCGCTTAGGTGGGTTGCACTGGTTGCCTCTGAACTCACTCCAAGAGGAAAACAACACTTTGCCTATTCTGAGTAATTTCAGCTGCCCCTGTTCTTAAAGGTGTGTAACCAGGTATCTACCTAGTCAGGCCTTGGGTCCTGACCTGATGCTGAGGAAGGTCTCTGTCCAGCAGCTGTTCCCAAGAGCGACCCTTTAGACCTTTGTATAGGCTCAAGTCAGGGCCTCTATTGCGTCAACCATTTGCTCAAACTGCTTGGACCTTTTGAACGTGGTACCAATTCGGTCCATCTAGGGCAGGCTTCTGTTTCTCCCCAACTCCCGGGAGATGTTGCCAGGTCTCAGAACACAGCAAGGAGCTAAAAGACCTACTTCTTGATCTTGGAGCTCTCACTGCCCTGAGAGGATCAGATGAAGCCCTCCCCACTCCGCCACCACACACAGGAACAGAGTGGCCGTAGGTCAGAGTACTCAGGCTTGATCCTTGGACCCTGGTGTCAGACCTGCTTTGTGAGGGCAGCTTTCTCAACAGCAGCACTACTCTGGTATTTTGGGCTTGATCATTCTTGTTGTGGGTCGGTCCTGGGCGGTATAGGGTGGTTAGTAGTGTCCCTCGCATCCACCCGCTAGATGCCCCTAAAGCACCTTCCTCCCCAAGCCATGACCATCAAAAATGTCTCCAGATTCCATCAGAAACCTCTTTGGTTGAGGCAAAGTCAACCCTGATTGAGAATGGCTAGGTTAAGATAATCATCTCCTGGTCAAAATACAGATTCCCTCAAAAGGGATAGAAATTAGGCCACCTGTTCTTTATTTGAAATGAGTCATTCTTGGACAGACTGACTGAGTCCCTTTTGATGGAGTCCCCTATCTCAAGTCACTTTCCTCCTCCATCTCCCCTCAGCTCTGCAAGGTCAAGACCGTGCAGTCCAGTGCAGGGCTTTTTTCCCACTGTGTCCCCCAGAGCTGTACCATGCTGAGGTCCAGAGCTCTGAGGCCAGACCCCACTCTACCTTACTTGCTGTGTCTGTGTGACTTTGGGCAAGTAACCGCAGCTCTCTAAGCCTGTTTCCACATTTGCAGAATGTGGGTAACCCTGCATACTCAGGGTGTTTGGAGGACTCAGCAAGGTGATGCTCGCAAAGCCCAGCCCTGAATGCTGGGCTTCACCCTTGCACTCCTTCCAGGGCACCCTCCCTCCCTGCAGTCATCACCTACAGGACACCACACACAGACCCCACTGTAGGCCCTGGGGATGCAGCAAAGAACAAGAGAGAAACTTCCTGCCTCTGCAGCAGGCATGCGAGCAGGAGAAAACAGACCACATGTGATGTCAGATGGCAAGAAGTGTTGAAGACAAAAACCAGATGGGGAAGGTGGCAAAGTTGTTAGGATGGAGGCGGGGGGTGGGGGTGTTGCAGTTTTAAGTAGGGGTTGGAGGTAAGTGGGGAGTGCCTCATGGGCCTCTATAAAGACCCTGAATTTCAGCCTGAAAGAGATGGATCCTCTAAGGGTCTGAACAGAGCATCGCCTGGCCTGCTGGCCACTATCCACAGGACAGACTGGGAGGGCACAGCAGGGCATGTGCTCGGAGAAGGGAGAGGATAGTGGGCAGCTTGGGCAGACAGAGGGGCTGGGCTGGATTCCAGATTCCTGTAGTCAACAGGACCTGCTCATGGTTAGGTGGGGTGCGCGAGCTGAGAGGAGTCCAGGATGACGGCTAAGTGTGTTGCCAAAGTGTCTCAGGATGGAAAAGCCACTTGTTGCAGAGGGGGACTGGGAAGATTGGGAGCTCCGTTTTGGTGATGCTGAGTCCAGAATGTCTGCGAGCCTTCCTGCAGGAGTGTCCACTGGGCAGTGAGATGTTCAGGGTGGTGGTACCCCATTTTACAGTTGAGTACACAGAGCCTTGGGAAGGTTACAAGCCTTGCCCAAGGTCACAGTGAAGCTGGCGGTATTGCAGAGAGAGCCTCGCCCAAGTCCCAGTGCCGTCCTCCTTCCCCGCACTCATCTTGCTGGGTGGGAGTCCTGGCCTGGTCTTGGCTGGGCCTGTGTGGCACTCATCAGTCCTCGGTACAGGGGTCAGCAGTCATAGGTGAGCAATCAATGTGGGAATGCAGCTGGGGTTCAGGGAGGGTAAGGGGGGGTGACTAAAGCCCAAGGGCAGCTGAACAGCTGCAAACTGTCAGCACAGGGGTTCCCCCCCCCAACTCTGGACAGCACAGACCTCCTCCTCCTGGTTTAGATGTTTGCGCTCCACACATGCCACCCCTCTCCTCTCTGCCCCCTCCCCTGCAACAAGACCACTGAGCCTCCCCCTCAGGCCTTTAGTCCCTTGTGAAAACCCCCTTCCTGTCCCATTGGGAGGCCAGCCTCCGTGCCCAGGGGATAGACTAAACTACAGCCAGTGGCAGCTGGCCCCCCCAGAGCCTCCTGTTTGGTTCCTCTAGCGCGGGCTGTTCCCTTCCCTCCAAGGACCAGTCGCTTGTTCTGTACCTCATGTCTGCTGCTAAACGTGTCCTGGGGCCAGGGGCTGCTAGGGCTCCTCACCATGCCCCCAAGTGCCAGGGCTGGTCTCGGAAGGGGGAGGCACTGTGAGGGGCCTACTGGGGAGCAGAGAGGGATGAGCCAGCACTGACAGAGCAAGTGCCATTGGACCAGGTTTAAAGGATGGCCAGTGCTGACAAAGCTTTCACAGCTGTGGGGCACGGAGGCCTGACTGGTGGTGTTAACCCTTTCTGTGGTATAAATACTCCTTTTGTGACTGGTTTTCAGGCTACTACCACGGGGTCACTGAGCAGAGAGCAAGGAAGAGATAAACACATCCCACAGCCCAGACCTATCTCCACCACCACACACAACAGACAAACAGCACCTCAAGGGCAGAGATAATTAGGAAACTGAGTTTTGAATATTTACCTTTGTGTTATAGTATACTTTAAGTAATGTTTGTCTTTAACACCTGGCTGAAAAAATCTTGGAAACTGAACAATTAGCTCTTGTGAGTAAGTATAGGCCGCTGGATGATGAACAGGATGCTAGGAAATGCAATGCAAATGGCAAGTGGCCCTAGGGTGGGAAGGAAGTTGAGAAGGGAAAGGAGGTTGGGGAGCTAGGCTGGGGTCCTCCCTTGGACATTTGTGCTGAGGAGCTGTGTCCTGTGGGAGAAGGCTGTCCTAGGTCACTCCGGAGGTCCCTGTGAAGGGACTGGGAGCACAGGAAGATTGGGCATGGCCCTGGCCAGAGATGGTGGTCATATGGCAAGAACTATGGGGACAGGAAGGAGAGAGAGAGTTCAGGAAGCTTTGGAAGCTAGAAGCAACATGTCTGGGAGTGGGCAGTGACTACCTCAATCTCCTAATCTGTGAAATGGGTACTGTATATGCTGGAGAGGACAGAACTCAGTGTGTTACCCAGACTGTGGTGTGGAAGTGCTCTGAAAGGGAGAAGGCAGCTGAGGAGGGGTGTGTCACTAACGGGGACTGCCTTCTCCTGTTAGTGACACACCCCTCCTCAGGTGTTGGCAGCATTGGGTGAGAGTGGGAAGACACTGTCACAGCAGTGTTCCATCATCACTTCCTCATAAGCCATCCGTCTAACCCCTTTAGGTTCAAAGAACGTGTCCTGCAGACCCCAAATGACCTTCTGGCTGCTGGGTTTGAGGAGCACAAGTTCCGAAACTTCTTTAATGCTGTAAGTTAACCTGGGCAGGATGGCTGAGGGTCTAGGTGCTTCTATGCTGGCAGAACAGAGAGGAATGGGCAGTGGCTGGAGCCCCCCAGAGCCCATGGCTCCGCAGTTGTGTCCCTGCTTCTCCCAGCTGGAGGACAGCTGCTTTCTGCATGTTGGGACAGGGAACCCAGGGCCCTGCCCTCCCATAGGGAGGAAGTACCTCCTTTGGGGCAGTAGCTCTCAGGCCGTAAACATCCCCCCACCCCACCTTCATCCATTCCCTCTCCACCCTACTCCCTTAGTGAAGGGGGCGGGGTTGGAGGATTATAAATAAGAATCCCAGTCACCACAATGATGGGAGGAGACCCAACCACTGTCCCCTAGACAGGACTCTGGGCTAAGGTACACAATGCAGGGCATTTCCAACCCTCTACTTAGCTCTGGTCCCAGACTGACTGACTTTGGTAACTCAATTTGAGGATTTAAAAATGGAAATACACATGGGGGGGATTCCTATGCAGAGAGTCCCGTGGGGGAGGGTAGGTCTTGCCTGTGCCTCCCAGCTGACAGCCCGGCGGCGTCCAGTTTTACAGTGTGGTAGAGCTGGTAGAGAAGGACGGCTCAGTGTCCAGCCTGCTGAAGGTGTTCAACGACCAGAGTGCCTCGGACCAAATCGTGCAGTTTCTGCGCCTGCTCACCTCCGCCTTCATCAAGAACCGCGCGGAATTCTTCCGACACTTCATTGATGAGGAGATGGACATCAAGGATTTCTGTACTCATGTAGGTCCTCAGGGTCTCAAGCTCTGGGGACTCGGCCCACAACCCTGGGACCTGCTGTGTAATACCCAGCTCCTGCGATTGTACACACTGGGGAGGACAAGGCAGTCAGTGTGTGGGCCATGGGGAAGTGCCGTGAAAGCCCCTCTCCCCTCAGGAGACGTGAGTGCCATCATCCCTAGCCAGGGGACTTCATGTCGCATCTGCATTTGTAATTGGAAGAACAAGATTAGCAAGCCAGAAACAGATCCTAATTAAACTGCCTGAACGTATGGCTCTGGGCAAGTACTTCCCCCACCCAGGCCTCGGATTTCCCATGTGAGAACCGAGGGCCCTGGACTGCCCTGTTTACAGAATTGGAGAGCAGCAGCCCCCGAGCCACATGTGTCTTAAGATGTGTTTTGTTTGTGATGGACAGTATTTATCTAAACGGATCTGCCAACATTTAATCCCTGGGCAGCTCTCTTGACTCTGATTTCTCTCGAGATCCAGCTCCCAGGGCCTTATTCTGCATGGCCGCAATCAGCAGGAGTGGAGTGGCGGCCGCCCCTGTTAGGTGGGACAAACTTGCCAGCCTGCCACCATCTCTGCCTCTCTGTGGCCTCTTCAGCATTCAGACTCACTCACTCGCCTAGCCCTCTGTGAAATCCCTTCATGACCGTCCTTGTCTGCTGAAATTCTTTGGTTCTGTGCATTACCAAGCCAAAGCTCAAAAATTCTTGTCTACCTCCATCCCGATTCTTCAAAGTAGTGTTCTCTTCTCACATACCACCAGAGTCTGGAATCTAAAAGATCTAGATTCAAGCCTTGCAGTTCTGGTGGGTTTCTGGCTGCTCTTCCTCAGTTTCCTCTTCTAGAAACTAGGCATGGCAGTACCCACCTGATGAGCTGTTGTGAAGATAACCCAGCATAGACGCTTAGACCCAGGGCCATGAAAGCCAGGGATGGACTTCTCATTTGTCCTTTGCCAGGCCCCCTTCCTAATCTGGGTTTGTTTTTTTCGTTTTGGCCTTTGCAGGAAGTGGAGCCCATGGCCATGGAGTGTGACCACATCCAGATCACAGCCCTGTCTCAGGCACTGAACATTGCCCTGCAGGTGGAGTATGTGGATGAGATGGACACGGCCCTGAACCACCACGTGTTCCCCGAGGCTGCCACCCCTTCCGTTTACCTGCTCTATAAAACATCCCACTACAACATCCTTTATGCAGCCGATAAACATTGATTAATTTTAGGCCATGCAGTGGAGCCTGTCACCTAACGGGACTGCATTCTAAATGGAACATTCCGACTTTTCAATTTTTTAAGCAACTTAAACTATAGTTAGAAAATGTACAGCCTTTTGGGCAGTCACTGGGAATGAGGACTACCCACCAAGGACTGTGGTAACTTAGTGGTACTGTTAATATTTATTTTCATGGAGGATCAAATACTTTCTAATTCAGGGCTACAAAGCCAGAACCTCTGGCTCTGCTCCCAGTTCCCTGAGACCCTGGGCAGGTCACCTCCCCTCTCTGGACCCATTTCTTCATCTGGAGAAGGTTCTTGCCAGTACTGACATTCTGTTGTATAAAAAATAGGGCCCTCTGGTTTCCTTTCTGTGCCTCTCTAATGGGGAGGAAAAGCTCAAGGTCAGCTGTCTTTGGTGACTTTCCAGTCCTACAGAAAAGGATCCAGTCCAATCAGCTGTTAGACTGGACATTGGTGGATGGCTGACTGAAGTGTTGGCCAGTTGGCCAATGTGAGGGCTTCAGCATGGTTCCAAACATTCACCAGGGGAGTGTTTTCTTACCCTAACCTAAGGAGAAAAGGACTTTTATGCCAAAGTTTAAAAAGGGGCCTTCAGCACGAAGCTCAAGTTGTTGTGGCCTCCCCTCCTCTCTACCTCTCAGGGCCAGACCTGCCTGCTTTGGGGCAGGCCCTTCAGGATTCTGCAGCTCAGCCTCCCCTAACAGGCTCAAGGAAGGCTGGGGTCTGGGACCAGGAAGCTGTCTCGCCATCCCCAACAGCCTGGAAGGAGAATCTAGGTCATCCGCCAGTGGAGACCGCAGTGCGCAGCCGCAGACTCCAGCCGGGCAGGCAGCCAAGTTCTGCAAGGTTGTCCGCAGCTTCTTTCCCGCCCCTGCTCGGTGTTGTGGACCGGCAGAAAGTCAGGCGGGAAAGAACAGACAAGCTGGGGTAACCGGCAAGGAGGGAGATTTGTTGTGAAAACTGCCTAGAAGCCAAGAGCCCAGGTTGGCAGCCTCCTCCGTCTGTTCCCCTGGACATTCCCCTCAGTAACTAGCCTTGTCACCTTGCTGCCCCCAGGACCCTGAAGAGCCCAGCTGATCTGGGGTACTGCTAGCAAGTGCTCTTCCTCTGTGGGAGGAAATGGAGACCATACAAGTGTGGAACTGCCCGTGGGGGTGCTCCCCTAATCCAAGGTGTTTTCTCGCAAGTTCCATTCTGCAGGGATTTCTGAGAATCCACCCTGCATGTCTGCTGGCAGCCAGACCATACACAAGGACTGGGTAGCAGACTGCCGAGGCCTTGTATACAAACGGCAGATTTGTATCATTCTTCTACCTTTGTGAAGACCGATGTTAGGGTACTTCAATGCCAGGCAGGGACCCAGGTTCCCCTACTGCATTTGCTGGAGCTTAAACCCAAGGGTTCACACTAAGTGATCATGTCACTTTTCCAAAGGAATGTAAACCTGACCTTGATCTCTGATTTGGTGATGTCCCACCCTGCTCTGGGTAGGAATGCTAGGATCTGTGACAAACATACTGGAAGAATGGGGGAAATGTTATGTGACTTGTGACTGTCAGGATCCCCAATTTTCAAATCAAAGGGTATGAACACGGCACCAGGTTGAATGCCCGTGGCTGCTGAGGGTCTGTGGGACGGTCCATGCCTCCAACTGGGCTCTCACACCTGGCATAAGCAGCAGCGGCCACTTCTTGGCATGCTCACAAAAGTAGAGCTTTCTCTTTGGCAGACTGGCTGGAGAAATTCCCTCTCGGGCTTCCTATGCTGTGCTTCCAGGTCTAAGCCCACCAGTGCTCCCATGAGACCCTCTTCCAGAAGAGTTCCTATCAGTTTCGAATCAGAATGCCACAGGCAAATTATTCTCATGTTCTTACAATGTGCTTCCCCCTTTCCCCACAAAACCACTGGTCCAATCCAAGCCATGGCTCTCTGCCCTCACATCCAACCTCAGATGGTCTAAGGCAAGCACCGATGCTGAAAAGGGAGTGGCAGAATTCAGGAACTTGTTCAAATCCAGCCATCTGGGGAGGTTACTTTGCTGGTCTACAGCAGCCAGCTGCGCCGGCGTTCAAACCTTCTGGACAGTTCTGCACCCACCTCACCAATCCCTCTCTGTCCAGACCAAAAGGGGGCAGGAGAGTTGCTTTGAGAGTCTGTATAACTGCACATTTATTACTTTCTTTCCAAAGAGAACTTTATAAATGGGAATGTTTAGCAACAAAAAGAACAAATTGTCCTTGCTTTTGACTGGGTTCCTATTATAAGCACAGAGGGCTTCTGGAGTCAGACCCGCCTGGGTTTGAATCTCCCCTTTCCACAAGCTCTCAGCCAAGAACTTCATCTCTGAGCCCTAATTCCCACATCAGTGAAATGGAAACAGTACCTACGCAGCACAGGATCACTGGTTAAAGAGGAACAAGATTATGTGTGAGACCAGACACCCAGTGCTCTACAAGCGGGGAAGCAGAACACTTGCTGCAATGCGGGCAGGTACTTCCTTGGCAGGGAAACTCTGGCTTCCCCAACAGGGAAGTGTCAGAACCCATGAGACAAGTCTAAGAACCGTTCTCTCACTGTGCAAAATGGGGGCAGCAGCTGTGGCTCAGTGAGCAGCTGGTGGGGAGGGGGGAGTGGGATGGGCAGGCCCTACAGCTTCTCCTGGCAGTTGGTGGAAACATTTTCCTGCATTAAAATGGTTTCCATGACAACCTTTGTCCTGGTTTCTTAGTATTTGGTATCTGACATGTACTGAAGATCACCACTCTCCCATGGGACTTATCTGTATGAGTGGATTAGCAGAGCGCGGGTTGTCATTTAGTGGAAGATCCAGATACTCAGGAACTTCTGCCTTTGGGCTCGAGGTGCCAAAGAAACCACAGGACTCACCAAAGCTTTACATCATCAGGTCAAAGAACAGAACTGCCAAGGATGCTACCCTTAGCTTTAGAACTAACTCTCCTTAACGTAGGACTTACCCTGCAAAAAAATAAGAGCATCTGCTGTTAAAGGACGAGGGCTGCATGTCAACAGACATCAGTGGGTCTGTCTGGCCTGTGATCAGTAGCCTCAGGCCTCTCATGACTCAGGTACTGCTAAGGTTCCTGAAGGCTGTTCAAACTGCCACTGTATCATCTGGATAATGGTGAGTCCCCTACCACTGCAGCCCCACCAGCTGTCATCCAAGAAATGATCTCACAGACTAGGATTGTTTTCTACTGCATTCTCCTCCCTGGGTCACTGATGACCCTGGGGAGACATTCCTTGACAACACTGCTGTCCTTTTAAGACTGAAGCAGTTTTCTGAACATGCCCACAAGGAAATACCCACGGTTTTGATCGCAGGCCTGCCACTTGGCCGCTCTGTGATCTGAGCCAAGTCTAAATCACTGTCAACTTTTTCAACTACAAAAAGGTGTCAGGACTTGTATCTCAGAGGCCTGTTAGAAACCAAATGATAAAACAGATGAAAATGCCTAACAGTGCTTGGTACTTGATCAGCACTCAAGGACACCTGACTCTGTCCAACTGTCCTACTGTAGTTACCCAGAGGGGCTGAGGAAACACTACTGCCATCCTGCCATCCTGCCGACCATGAAGTCAAGGGGACCTGTGTTGAGAAAGCCGGCCTTAGCCGTGAAGAAATGTACGCATCTCCAGCAACTGTGGCTACTCACCTAGACGTACCTAGAGAAATCTGGGTTGGGGGAGGGGCAGACGGGACACGGATTCCCTCAGCACATATTTACATCATGCCCTGACCTAAGCCCAAGGGCTGCAAGGGCTAATAAAGCAGCCTATGCTGTCAGGGAGCTTAGCAGACAACACAGTCTGCCAAGCGCTACAGCAAGGGTAAGCCCAACTACTACAGACACGATGCCCTCCTGGGGGCTTGGCGACTAGGGAAGATGTGCTCAAGGATGGGGAAAAAGGCAAGCAGGCAGAGGGGAAAGCTTGTATAAAGACTCAGGACCAGAGAAAGAGCACATGGGACTGTGGATAACAACCACTTCAGGACGCAGAGGAGAGGAGGGGAGACAAGAGAGAAACTGGCTAGCACCAGATCCCAAGTGCCTCACAACGCCAGACTCTGCACATTGTTACTGGCTTCCCCACAGACGGCTCTGAGGGTAAGGAAGCCGGTGTTCTCTTGAACCCGAGGACGGCAACCTCTTCCCTGCCCACCCCGCAGCGTGGCTCACACAAGAGAATGTGAACGGCAGAGAGCTATAGAGCTTTTAGTGGAGTGGAGTGGAGTGCCGTGGAGAAAAGCACAACACAAGCAAAGACCCAAAGCTCCATCCCCACTCTCCAATGGGATGAGATGTACCCTACGTGCAACCCCATGTGCAACCTGCCACCAGAGGATAGGACAGCTATATTCCGGCTAAAAGCTCTGGATAACACGCTGGTTCTGACTACTTTTAATTAACAAAAACAAGCTGAACATACAAGAAGCCTATACACACTGGAATACAGAAAGATACCAAGCTGCTGCATAGAATTCTTTCTCCAAAACACAAATGTGCATGAGGTCTCTCTCGCAACGGGGCCTGGTATGGAAGAGGATTTTTGTAACCGGGGTTGACAGTGGAGTGAAAGGCAAAGTGGGAAGATTATCCACAAAACCAGAGAACAGAAACAATGTGCAGTCACTAACAGACTGACCTGGAGGGCAGTTAATCTAGTTGGTCTGCACTTGTACTTGGCTGAGGTTGTTCCTGCTGCTGCTCTTTTGGCAGCGGCTGCTTCTTCTTCTTCTTCTGTTTGGCGAGGCAGCTCAAAGCAGACTCACCATTGCTTGGGGCAGCCGTGAGCGTGGGCAGCTTGCCAGACTGAGTTGGATACTTCGTTTTCAGGTCCTCTTTGAACAAGGGCTGGGAGAGTAAATGGCGCAGCTCCTTCTTCAGGACCTTCATCTGCTTTTGTCTCCTACGCTCTTCTTGTTGGTCAGTTTTTCTTCCTTAAGACACAATACAGAACGGACCATATTTGCTATAGTTTGTGGAAACTTTTTGTTTCCCTTGATGGATACTTGCGATGGACAATGTTCTGGAACTCTTGAGGAATCAAGGTTCTAAAGTTCTCTAGAGAAGCTAGTATTGGCTAACTTCTAACACAGCTGGGGAGGGATACTCAGGGCCATTATATCCTTCATTCCTCAAAAAAACAGCCTCTAACACAGGAATGACCTCCCATTTTACTCGAGGGCACGTGCTGACGGTCACAGAGCTAGCTAACTAGCTGTCAAACAGATTAGAATCCAAGGCTCCTGACTGGTAGATCGGTTTTCTTCCCATGACCCACCCAACTGCTACTTGCTAGTTGGGGCATGGTGACTCGACAGGTACAAAGACCCCAGGAGACTGTGAACACCATCTGGCAGCCCAGCTCTCCTACCCCTCCCCACCAGCACTGTGACTGCCTGTAGAGGTGGGCACAAAGGGCCCCAAGCCAGCCAGTCCTCAGGAAGCGGAGCTCAAGCCCCAAGCTTGAGCTATCAGGGGGAACAGCTCATTGTCACCACGCCCACTGGTCTGGTTCTCAGCTTCCATACTGAGCAGACAGCTTGTCAGCTTCTGAATTTGTTGGCTTTGGCACTGAGATGCCAACACCTCAGGTGGGCGCCCACCTGTGGGATGGAAAGAATACCCGATCTACTCTGGTATCAGTTCAAGATCTGGTTCCACCACTTTTTAGATTCAAGAGCCTTCCTCGAGCAGGGACCACAGAGATTCATCCCTGAATCCCTAGGCTCTTGCCCAGGTTCAGAGTCGGGCCTCAGGAAAGGCCTGGTAATAGAGCTATTTCCCTGCACAAACAGCTTCTCTTCCATGAACCTCTAGTTTCCATATGTAAAAGAATGATAATTCCTGCTCTGTTCATGTCATGAGACCAAGGCAGTCAGATGAGATGATGACTGGTGTAGTAGAAACAATAATGATCATAAATAAGAACTTAAAATGCATCAAATCCTTCCATTTGCCAGGTACCGATTAAGGCACTTTATATACATCAATTCAAGCCATCTTTTGCAATAACCCCATGAGGCAGGAACATTATGACCTGCATCTTATATATGACAGCCGAGGTATAAAAGCGAGATTAAGGAGCTGGACCTGGTCACACAGCCAGTTAAGGGGATGGACCAGCACTGGCCGTACAGCCTACCCCTGATGTCACTACCTTTCCACATGAGGGAAGCAGCGAAGGCTCCCCACAAATAAGACAGAGAGAACAAAGGTCAAAGATGGTAGGCTCATCTGAGAGTAAGGCCTGTCGCAAAGGAAAAGGCATCTTGCTGATTTTAACAGGACCTGTGGTAGTAGCGAAGTTCCAATAGGATAAAGTTGAAGGAAAAAACAAATGAAAAATGCTGAATGCATTCTTCAAGTCCGGAATCCAGCGCACTCACCCTTATACATCTCTTCTTCCAGCTCGATGTCAAGGGCAGCTGCTGCCTGTTCAATCCAAGAGTTGTGCAGACAAGCCTGGAAGTTCCGATACTCGGCCTTCTCAATCTGCCGAGCTAAATGGATTCGTTCCTGGGGGAAGGGAAGAGAGTGTTCATTTGACAGTGCTCAGGCCTCGGAATAAAAGCAGAGAGAGCAACCATTACATGAGCATATCCAAACGAAATCACAAGAGCCAGCTTTCCAAATGACAAGCCTGAAGAGCCCCACCTGTGGGAAGCCCACCTTGGCTGGACACCCATCTACAGGTGTCCGAAGAGAACTCTTTTCCCTGGACTCCACAGAGAGCTACCATAGCCGAGCTGGGACCCTGACACACCCCAACAGCCCCAAGTTAGAGCCACACTGTGACTGATCACAGGGACCACAAACTCAAAGAACCACCTTCCTTCTCCTTCCATGTTGTCCTTGCCAAAAACATTTCAACTCTCCTGCTCAAGGGTGCTGGGGTCAGACCTCAGTGAACAGAAACACGGGTAAAATGGAGATACTGTAGTGTGGGGAAAGGAGTCATGACAAGCGAAGAGTACCTCCCAACACTCCTTACTAACGGGAATTCTCTGTCCTCTCCATCCTTCCAAGCTCATCTCTTATATTTTCCCGCATGGCTAACACTCCTTTCAAGTCAGAGGAGCCAGGAGTCCTTGACCTGTTCCATGCTTTTGCTCCCTCATTTCCTGGAATTCTATCTCCTTTCCACCTCTCCATACGCAGGAGGCTTGGAGAAAACCTTGCCTCCTACCAATATAAGCATAATCCCCACCAGTCCCCATGGTGCTCTGTTTGTACCTGAAATTCAGCATGGGCTCAGCCTCCCTCACAAGCCAGTGGGCCTCTCTGGAGGAAAACCCACCCGGCTTTGGTGCCTGACACGCGGCAGCCCACGGTCGGCGCAGCTACTCCACTGAACGCTTGCTGAGTTAAAACAAAACCCCAATGGTAGAATTACTGCCATTTGCTTCAGGGATGTGACAAAGCTTTATTATCTGCCTCAGCAGACAAGCTGACCTTACTTCCCTACAACCACTGATGCCCAGGCAGCTACACTAACTGTCTGTGTCCAGTGGAGGGAGATGGTGGTAGTGGAGGCTCCAGGGGTAGGCAGTGAAGGAAGGGCTCAAGAAGGAAATTCCTCCTGTTTTTGACCACTCACCTTTCTCCCTTCTACCACCTACAGTGCCCCCATCTCCCTCCCCTTTTTTTCTCCCTCCCCAACCACTTTTTTTTTTTTTAAAACAAATCTCCCTATTTAGCTGTTGGCAGAACCCTTAATTTCCAAGGGTCCTACTGCCAGAGCCTCACAGCAGGGTCTGAAGGCACAGCATGATCCCTTCCCTCATTAGTACCAGATTTTTAACTTTTCTTTTACCTTGACTGCGTCCATGTACTTTGTCTGCACAGGAAACAGTGGGATGTCCTCATCTTTCTTGAGGGTTTTGTAAATCTTCTTAAAGTTGATCACATCCTCAGGCCCAATCAGCATCAGGCTGAGGCCTTCATTGGTGGCACGAGCCGTTCGACCACTTCGGTGGACATAGATCTCCGAGGTACGAGGGACCTGCCAGAGGAACCAGGAGGTCAACGCACGGTTATCACCCAACAGTATTCTTCCCCTCAGGACCAGCTTCCCCGAGTCGGGACAGCTAGAAACCTCTCTAAAACTGTGGACAGATCCAGCCCTTTTCCCTTAGTCCTAATTCTTCAGCCCATTCACTGTGCAGCGTCTGCCCTCCCGTGCCCCCTGCCCTAATTTCAGGTGTCCGAAGAACACTGTTCAACAGAACAGTGACAATCACTTATTTCATCTCGTCTTTCCCATTCTGCTTGACCCAGCCCAAAGCTGCCACTCCAATCTTCGTGAGTCAAAGCTCTGACTGTAATTCCCACTCTAACTAAAGAAACTCCACTGATTCTTCATTAACTCTACATGAATGATTGAACATGGTAATTATAACTAACATTTACTGAGTGATTACAATGGGCAAGGCAATTCCAAGCACTCTGCGTGTGTTATCCCACTTATTCCTCCCAAATAGTAACACGAAGTGCTTTCATGATTATCCACATTATGGACAAGGAAACTGACATACAAGAGATGTTAAGCAACCCCCCCTAGGTTGAGGAACTAAATAGTGGAGCCAAGATCTGACCTGAAGCAGTCCTGCTGAAAAGACCCCGCTGACCCCTAGGCCCCACTGCTTCTACTCTAAGATATACTGGATATATTATCCACGGCTGTGGCATGGGTGCCCCTGCACCCATGGCACATGCCACTAATCAAGAACAGTCTTTTCCACTGAGCCCAGGTTAACACGACCACTTCCAATGCAGCTCTGAGTACTTAACTGTTCATAATGGTGCTAGAAATGCAGTCTATTGGCCATTTTTCACTTTCTTCTCCCCACATAATCCCCCACTGCAGCCAACTGCCCACTTCCACATTCTCTCCTCCTTCCCTTCCACCTCTACATGCCCAGATCCTCCCCATCCTTAAATGCAAAGCATCTTTTAGAAAGCCCTTTCCAACTTCCCAAACTAGAAGTTACTACTCTCTCCCTCCCATTATATTTTGCAACTTCCTAGTATCTTCTGCCTTAAATGATGGCTGTGGTCTTCTCATCTCCTTTAGCTGGTCTGATACTTCTCAGGGGCTAAGACTGTATTTTGTTCATGTGGATATCTCCCACAAAGACTGGCCCAGCCTCTTCCCCAAAAAGAGGAGGAAGAAAGATTTGCTAACTGAACTGGTACCCTGGAAGATTTTTTTGAAGATTTATTTATTGGAGAGACAGAGAGAGTGTGCTTGGGGGGTGGGGTAGAGGGAGAGAATCCTCAAGCAGACTCCCCACTGAGCTCAGGGCTT